ACGAGAGTGGGACTCGAACCCACGCGGATTGCTCCACCAGGAATTGCTGTTAAGGTAGCCTTAACCTGACGCCATAACCAACTCGGCCATCTCGCCGGATGATGTCGCAGGGGAACTATTTCTTACTATGAAGTGAACAGACCCTGGTGTTGGAAAAAAAACAAAGACTCCCAGGCAAAAAGAAATAGAACAGATAAAAAAAAAGATTTAACGGGAGCGGGACTCGAACCTACGAGGATTGCTCCACCAGGAATTGCTGTTTAAAGTAAGCCTGAACCTGGCGCCATAACCAAACTCGGCCATCCCGCCTTATGATTTTCTATGATAATTGTTTCAATTATAAGGAAGTCAGACATAGAGGTAGCCCTGGCTTTATACAATGTTGATGTTGTAAAGAGTAGAGCTCGCTGTATGTCAGAAGTCGGGTTGGTGGAAGAGAGCGAAGAGGGATAACAATGATTACAGGTACGGAGTAGTTACACAGCGGATACGCAAGTACGCAGCAGCGGGGTGTCTCGGGCCTTTTATAGAACTCAACTGGAGCTGGACTAAGGGGTTAGCGAGCCCCTAGTTTGCGCCTATCGCTTTAGTCTACGCCTTAGTATCGTGGTCGGTGCGGGCGTTCGCGACGACGCGGTTCTAGTGCCGTTGGTTGGCAGTTGGGTCCTGACGCTATAATCACCTATAAATCACCGCTAAAGAACGGGGTCGTAAAGTTTCAATAAATACATGTATTTGGTACTGTATTGTCACGGCAACTGTAAAAGAAGTTATAAAGCTAATGAAGAGTAGAGGTAGAAAATGGTGAAAGATACATGGTTTTGGTGCTGGCGCTCTGATAATGCCCAGCCCGTGATATCCTCCCCATCTCTTGCATAATTCGCCTTGGCTCATTCTGAATCGCCATTGGGCGTGCCAGACGTAATTTGGCCAAGAAATTCCAAAAGGGTGCATAGAAAAGGTAGAAGAGACTGATGCTGCCAAGATACACCATTGGGATAACGGAAAGGGGAACGTTGCCTTGAGTTACGCATGGTGTAAGCAAGATCCTACAGGACAGGAGAGATAATGGGTTGGCATTGTCAAGAAAGGACGAGATGCTTACCAAATAGACCTTCACGGCGCGAAATCGTCTCCCACAACTCGCCAGTCATGACCTCGCAGGCTCCCTCCCATTTCCATGGGCCCCTCATGCGGAACTTCGTGTTGAAGCTCGCTCCCGCGGCCCATATATACGGCAGTCTCCAGCCATTCTTGGTTGTGAACGCCATTTTGAGCACTTCTGGGAACGATGGTGCTCCATCGATATCCTTGGCCAGCTGATATGCGTAACTGTCATGCTCAACGCCGTAACTGACACGTGCATCAGGGGCGTGGATAATGCGATAGTGCCACTCATCCTCCGGGTCCAGTGGCCTTGGGATTCGATTAATCAGATTCATTGTAAAGAGCATTGCCTGCATCTCCGCGAGCGGTGGGATAGCGCCAAAGCCTGGACGAACGAAGCCGATGAAGCCGACGGTTGGGTCGTCCGAGTTCCAAATTTGCCTCACATCTGCGTCAAATGCTACAGGATAAGGCTTGCGTCCGTCGTTTTCTGGAGTGTTGAGGTAAGGAAATGCCGGAAGGTAGCCGGTGGCGAATATGACAACGTCTGGCTTCACAATAGTTTCATTGATGCGCTCGGATTCCGGGCGACCGTTAAGAGGAAAGTGAGCCACGCCATCCTCAGAGATGTGCGAAGGTGTTGGTGCAACCTCTATTATCCGCGAAACCGAAGGGATATCCGTATGAAAGAAGAAGCGACGGATACGAGTGGCAAGGGACCACTTGGTTGGTCGCCAAGGTGTGGAAACATGGTTGCTGATACGCTGCCAAGCCTTGTTGAAGAAGACTATGTCGAATATTTCATTGTGTTAGTAGCACGTAATACTACGTCCGCCGTCTGAAGAGAGCGTTGCTCATACCTCGTGATGCGTGAAAGCGCTCACTATAAATTTGGCCAACCCATTGGTCGATTCCGTATATGGAACCGCCGCAGAGCCAGCCTCCGGCGGACAGTCCGACAAAGTGATAAAAGTTCCAAACGATCATGCTGTCTCTCACTATGGGGTGTACATACATGGAGTCAAACAAGGTGACTTGGGATACGTCGAGAGGAAGCTGCGGATAATCGTACTTGGAGCCAAACAGCCACGGCAGAAATCTCTGTCCGGGAACTCTCTACACGTTGTGTAAGTAACTCTGTGGAAGTGGTGCCGTTGCATGAAGATATAATGACCGAGACATGCCTTGGGTGCGCCGAGCCAACCATCCCGATGGCATAGGATGATCCTATCCGTGCCTCCTGTCACTGCCAAGTGACAAATGTCTGCGCCAGTCTCACCGCTGCCGATAACCATGACAGTTTTGTCCTTGCCAAATTGCTTTCGAGACTTGAAATCAGCAGAGTGCATGACAACAGGGACATGTTCAATGCCAGGCAGATTCGGTATATTGGGGATGGCATGCACACCGGAACATATCGCGATGGCGTCGCACTCCCACTCGATTTCTTCGCCTGATGCTGTCCGGTAAATGACGACATGCTCACTGGAGTCTCCTCGTCGAATTGACTTGACCCATGTGTTCAAGTTGATGTACGGCCACAGCTCAAAATGGGTAGCATACTCATCGAGATACTCGAGATAGCGGTCGGAGCTGAAGAAGTCCGGATCATCACGACGGGGGCGGAAGTCAGAGAAGGCTGTAAGATATCTCGAGGAGACGAGCTCTGCATCTTCGTAGGAATGGTGTGAGAAGATGCCTCCAAGCCTATTATGTGATTCAAAAAGCCTGAGCTCAAGAGGTGGTATGGCAAAGCGTCGGTGTGCCTCGGTTAGGACTTTGAGTTGTACGATACCTGAGGGGCCTCCACCGATAATCGCAACGCGCATTGTGTTTGTTCACAAAGTATGTTGAGTAGTCAGAAGAGGGCTTAGTGATGGGTAGGGCGAATTGGTTGGAAAAACTAGTCAGGAGATGGTAAACAAAGATAAACGCCAATGGGTTTTGGCAGATGTTATTTTAAAAGAAATCATGCTGTAACGAGGAACACGAGGATAGAGACAGACAAAGACCTGCAATAGGTTCGGGCCCCTCCCTTAAGTCCTATATGTTTCGCTGACAAACTGGTACCCCCGGGCTGGCATACAGCATGGTTCGAATATTACCTCGGAGGCTGGCCCTGAAAGCGGTCGCGACCCCGGCTTTGGGATGACATCTCCTAGCTTGTCGTGTCACCCATGCCATACCTATGCTTCAACATAGAGGATGCTACTTTACACTATAGGCAGGCTAAAGTTTGCAGACAACATGTTGCAGGTCTGCCAACCATGAGGAGATGTTAACAAGGAGGCAATTCATATAGTTCTGTGACTTAACGGCGTATATACATGTAGTAGGCTGGATAATTGTATCGAAACTCCAGGTTTCATGGCAATACATGAGCTATCCCACAAGGAGCCATCATTGTCACCAGTGAACCAAATGGGCCCTTAGATTGAGGATACCAGATCCCGAGTTAGCAAATGACAGTTGCGCGTTGCAAAGGAGGGAAGCAGAGGTGACAGCGCCCCGTATTGGTGTGCTGAATCTGACCCATGGAGTTTGCAACCCCTTCCCGGCATTGTGGTTTCAAATGAGCAACCCACATTGTATACATGTAATTAGAGTTGGAGAATTCCAATTTGGGCACAGCTGAGCCAAGGACCCGAACGATCGGGACCAGAGAGCGATGGATTTGCAATACATAAAAAGACGAGAACCAACAACACGATGCGATCGCGATGCTAGCGGTGCTCAAACGGCCGCAGGATGTGACTGATCAAGTAGCGGTCTTACAAGTAGGAGCACACACAAGCCGAGCTCTTGCAGGGACTTGGCCGCGGACAGAATCACTGTGCTTACCATGAGGTTGCCAAATTCATCCACGTACATGATACGAGTTACTCGTGGAACCCGGATCATCTTGAATTTTTGGACGGATACACAAAGAGAGCGCGGGGAACATGAAAAGTAAATGGTCTTGCTATTGGAGAAAGAAAGTAGCATGAGCTTGGATGGTTCAAAAGGGTTAAAAGGAATGCCAGAGAAACCATAATTTCAAGCTAATGATGAAGAAAATGGCCTCCATGATTGCAGTAAAATAGTCACACGTGCCTAATGCATGTCAGAAATATAGGTAGGCACTATGCTGTTTCTTATCACGGCACCTTGGCCTCTGATTAGCAGAAGAACAACCGGGGTCCCAGTCAGGATGATGCCGGAAATGCAGTTTTCGGCGTCAATTTCAGATTCGAACAAGTTAGCAGCTTGAGTAGAACCGAACTGCTTTAAAGAAGATAACCTATCCCTTTTTAGATTACCGGTAGTGCGTTAGATGTAAGTTGGAACGAAGCATCTTGGATACTTCTCCACGGATCAATCAATATGACAGATGACTAACGCGGATAGTCGCCCAAACGCCCCCCCCCACAGCCACCCGGACAATAGCGGGGATAGCGTGACTTCATACTTGGAGCTCCGTCTCGTGAGCACGATTTGCGACATCATCCATACATGTACCTTTGGTAAGCACACTGCCATCCAGATCTTGCATCAATTTCATCTCAATCGCCCCCCCGCAATCTCAAACTCACCGCTGCTGGCTAGCCGGTTCAAACTGAGATGACCTCTCTTATCCCTCCCTCATAGCTACTTCTCTCTCCCTCCCACAAACTCCCCAACCATGGCCATCAAACCATCCGTCGCCCTCGTCTCTCCCCTCTGCAGCTCACACCATCTCACCCACTGCACCCGCCCTTCCTCATCTCCCCTATGTAAACGCTTCAAAAGACAATACGCCACCATCCAAGACGCCAGCGAGAAGAAATGGTCCGACTGGAAACCCTCTCCCGAAGACACCGTCCACGAATGGCCAAAGTCGCCACGGCCCACGCCATACGAAGTCCTCGGCGTTTCCAAGGCTGCCGTCTACGACAAGCGACGCTTCTATCATCTCGTCAAGCTATATCACCCAGACACGCATGACCACAACCATCGTCACGCACCCGTATCACCCTCGTCCGTGCACATCGGGAACATCCCCCACGCCACCCGCCTCGAACGCTATCGCATGATCGTCGCCGCCAACGAACTCCTCGGCAACTCCTCCAAGCGTCGCATGTACGACACCTACGGCCTAGGATGGTCCCACGGCGACCACGCCACGTCCCTGCGCGACATCGACAAGAACTGGCGCCACCAACAAGGCACCGCCGCGAACAACGCCACCTGGGAAGACTGGGAACGCTGGCGGGATGCCCAGGACGGGAAGTCGAGCGAGCCCGTGTACATGTCGCATGGGGCGTTCGCATCCATCTTGGTGCTCATGTGTCTTGCGGGAGCCATGGCGCAGACCAATCGTGCCGAGGCGAGCGGCGCGCAGTACGTCGGGTGGGCGGCCGATCACAGCGCTGAGATTGGAGGCCGGCTGCGGAGGAACGGAACGGCGGTGGCTGGGCTCAGCAAGGATGAGAGGGTCGACTACTTTTTGAAGGAACGCGAAAACGTCAATTTTCAGTTTGTGCCGACCAAATACGAGACGAGTGACCGCCCTAGGCCGTCATAGGCTGTCGAGGTTGGTTGAGCCAGAGATACTGAGTCTCGGCAAAAGGAGAGGTTCATGTTGGAGGACCAAATCCTGTGTACAATTATAAATGATGATATTATGAAAATTTTCCAATCTAACCATCGCTCAGCGATATACCTACTAGCTAATCTATTTACTGATGGTCTATTAGATGCTGAGAATTACAAGAAAAAAGTGATGTTACATTCATCATGACGGCGTTAGTCATTATCCAGCAACTCATACAGTCGTAAAAAAAAAAAAAAAGAGATACCAATATTTTAGTCTCGTCCACCAGAGACATATCTGTCTCCAGGCTCGAAAAATGTCGTCTCCGGTCGGGAGTAGGTCGTTCCCGCAGTCTTCAAATCAGGCCTGAGCGTAAGCGGCTCGTCCGGCCGAAGCGTGATTTCGTCGTCGTATTCTGATATCAGTCTATGGTTTATGATGTTGTCTATACGTAATCGCGGTGGTCCGGAATTGAGTCGTTCGCCGTTCTTTGGCGGCCCGGCTATATACTCGTTAGAAAAGAAGATGCGACAGTAGGACGGGTGGTTTCGATGGAAAAGGACTGGACTTACATATTATGAGGTCTATCAGTTTGACAATGACGGGACCCCAACAAGTGATGGCAATGATCTGCCCATAGGACCATTTGTTGGCCTCGAAGCTCTTTGCGTTAATGACCGTGACGAGAGAAACCATGTACAGGATATTGATGATGAAGTAGGCTATTTCCAAGCCTCTCCAGAAATACATGGTGATTGTCTTCCAGTGGCGCCGGAAACTGTTCTCAGGCCATCGACCAGGCGTCCAGCTACCGAATCTCAAGTGTTTCGTCCGTCTATGTTTTCGCAGTGTCCAACTTAGCTGGTCAACCACAAGCGCAATAAAGGCAATGCTGTCCAGACCCAAAAACACAATCTTATAGAGGAGTGGATGCGGGAAAAATGTCAAGTGTAGTCCAGAGACGCCATGCGTTGCCGCACAATACGTTCGAGGGCTCGGGTTGCCACCGCATTCCTCAATGCTGTGCTGCTGCTTGAACAGGTCAAAAGTAGATGCAAAGCTAATTTTCTGTGTCGATGCAATGATTGCCAATAAATATTCGGCGCAAAATCCGAGAAACGTATGCCAATTGCGAATGCCTTCGTTGTGAAGACACACTTGGACCAGAAACATGGGGAGAACGCCGTTGAGACTGACATGGAAGGCAACGGCGCCGTTGACGATAATCTCGCCCCAGAAGGTGCCTTCCTGAGAGTTGATGACTATGGCAAGGATAGAGGCGATCTGCAATGCAAACACAAACCAGCACTGGGCTTCTTGAAACTCGACGAGAGTGGTGGCCATGGCCACACTGGTTCGTGACAGGGTGGACGTGTCTCTCCAGACTAATGACTGGGCACGGGTAAGACTAAAGGGCTCCCGCTTCTTCTCGGTGCGGCGTGCCCAGATGGTAAATCCCTGGACGGCCAGATACAGAGATCCTGAAAAGCATACTTGAAGCACATAGGAGATTAGCACCTGTCCGAGCAAGGTTAGTCAGTGTCACTTTTGTTCTACAAGTCGTTGATTTTGGGTATTGACGGGGGATTCGCCGGCATGGTAGGTAGTCTTACTCCAGGCCCAAAGATGTCAGGATCAATATTAGCAGGAATATCTGGGCAAAAGGTATCCATTGCTTCGAATATCTGATCAGCACTCGATTTGTCTCTAGAGAGTGCCTTGATCGAGGGGTCGCATGATACGCTTAACAAGTCACTTCCACATGCTGCTTGGGCGCAAGTTATAAACGAGTCGAGAGTAGGCTTATAATCGAATTCGGCGAGGCTGCCAGAGCCCATGATGCTGCTGGCATTTTGCTCCGCCTCGGGAGTGATGTAATAACTCTGAGTGTCATGAGTCCAGTGGGAAATGGAAGATAGCGCGATGCAGTTATAGAACGTCTCGAGAGAGCCGAAGAAGGTGTCAGTGCGGTTGCAGGCACGGGTGCAGTCCTCGACGCCGTCAACCTCGCAACCGGTGCTGAAGAGCAAAATGCTCTGGTCACCATCAATGCTCGATTTGATGAGATTCTTGAAACTGAAGGCGTCATCGTCCGGGTTTCCGATATTGGCAAGGTCGCGAAAGGGGAAAAAATCCAGCGTTCCCCCAATATCAGGCTCGATGACGATTTGGAGCGGCAGCGAAGACGGAACCGGTGCCGCAGTAATCGCGGTGGAAACGACAAAAGATGGAGATAGAGTACTAGTCACTGCCATGGCTCCCCTCAAAGACCGCGCGTCGGCCGCCAGCGACGATTAGGTACAGATGCCAGAAGCATAGACGCCCTACCGATGCCTTGAGGGACAGTTTTGGCCTGCTTAATCAGTCGTCTCGCTAGAGTTGCGCCAACAGCCAGGAGCCCGCCCAGATCTGCTTAATGGCCTGCAACGAGAGTGTCATCTCCCAAGCCAAAGTGGTACAAGGAAGACGAAGTCGGTGAGGCGGGCAGGGCGCCGTCGTTTCGGTGCTTCTTTATATCGCTACTGACAAATATTCCCTGATGACGGATAAGAAAGTGATTTGCTGTCATCCGTCCAGTAGTGGGTCGATACGCGACCATGTCCGTTCTGGCCAATCGAGTCTCTCAAGAGAAGCAGGCATCATGTCCATGGCGAGCTTGGCGAGTTGGGTCCCGGAATCCAGCTGGTAGCCCAAGTCGACATTGGGCTGGCTGGGCGAGATCAACACTCTGGCGGCCGCTGCGAACCACGCTGTCGTCTGCACATCATCATGGACACAGTCGAGCCGGGGGTTGACAAAGCAGATCGATCAGATAGCCAGAGCTTCTGCAGGGTTGCCTTAACCCTTAACCAGCGGCTGACACGATGCTGGCTGCAGTGCTGCGCCTCCCCCAGATTAAGGCACGCGGTAATGATTGTAGTGCATGACTGAGCGTGCCAATGGCAGCTAGCGGCGGAGCGGCGTGGAGGATCGAGCACCCCCTTGAGGGCTTTAGTGGCTGGAGGATGTGCATTGATGCAACATGAGACGGTCTTTTTGGAAGTCGGCGATGGTTTCTAGAAGATGCGGATCCAGGCATCTGAACAGGTACATACTTCAAGCATGACTAATACAATGACATTGTAGAGGTGAAGCCTCGTTGAGGTCAAAGGAAGGTGCGGCTGGCCTTGGTAGTGCGGGGACGGTTCTATAGGTACTTTAATTCCAGCCATTCTTGACCTGTAGGTACTAGTACCTACTAACTAGGTTAGTAGTACCTACCTGGTACTACTAAAGTATTTGATGCTCAGGTACGGAGTAATCTCATCTCATCTTATCCAACAACTCCATCAAACTCGTCAATGACGCTCCTCGGCTTGACAAACGCACCCAGCGGAGTGAATTCCAGGTGGTCGATCCCGAATCCCGCTGGCCCGCCAATTTCGATTCCTCTCTGGCTTCCCGTCCATTTATCACTGGCGGCCAGCCCCAGCACTACTACTAGCAGCCCGTATCTGTACTCTGGAGTGCCGATAGCTTCACCGTTCTGAGCGTCAATCACGGTGATCAGGTCCGGGGCAATAGCCAAGACGTCCTCCTGCTGCTCCTCTTTCCCATCATCTCGGACCTTGAGGGCTGCAATGTTTTCGTTCTTAAAAGGGATCTTGAGGGTCCCTTGGAATGACGAGGGGTTGGTGGCATCTTGCTGTAAGCCGTCGCTGTCTTGTCGTACATCAACTCCTTCGATAAAGCATTCGCCATAGACATATCCTCCCCTCAGCGTCCTTTCAACGCCGACAATCTTACCCTTCCAGAGCACTTTGCCAGCTGCTTTTCCGCCGCATTCCTCAATGATGGACTCGGCTACGTTGTCGACTCTATTCTCCTTCCGAGCACGAACAACGCCTCGCCCGATTCTCCAAGCTTGAGAAATGGTGTGTTCTACTACCCATCGCTTCGTTTCTGCTCCTGTCACCGGCGACTCAGCACAGCCTGCGTATGATCCCATCTGTGTCAGAGCCGCTCGCAGGATGCGCTCAACAGCAAGGTCAGAGGTTGCTTTCGGCATGACAACAACATTACCGTTACCGTCAGACATGGCGATGGGAGACCAGATAGGAGACCGTTCGTTAAAAACAACAGGGGTTGTCTGCCATTTCGTTGGATAAGCCCGTCCCATCCAGTCGCCATCCACAGCTGGGAGATTCATATTCGTGCTGGCGCCCAATATCATCGCTTGGAGGCCATTGCCACCTCCAATTTCGATGGAGATCATGTGAGAGGCTGGGTTAGGACAGGCCTTGAACAATTCGTGCTGAGCTTCCAACAGCTCGTCGGCAGGCAGCTTCTCGATTCCGACTGTGGGACTGCCCACGCCTCCTCCACAACCGATCTGATCGTCGTCGGCAAGATCATGTGGATTTACAACCCTCACAACTGCATGTTTACGGAGCTCCTGCTTCAGACGCACCAGATGGGAATAAGGGGATCCTCCACCGCCCGTTCCAAGGATGTAGCAGCCGGTGGCAATCCAATCAGCATCCGTTTCCGAAATGTACCAAACGCGATTCTTCACTGTTGGTTTATATAGAGCAATGTCGATGTCCTTGTCTATTTGTTCTTTAGATGTGGATTCCGGTCGCTTTGATAATTTCTCATATTGGCTCATATCGGTGTCATTTGCCTCGTCATCCGCTTCTGGAGCTGCGTGAACTTGGACTCGGCCCAAATCAAAATCCCCCGCTGCACGGACGATGAATCTTGTTTTATGAGCAATGTACTACACAAAACGTCGAATTAGTAATGGCTGTTCGTTTTTAAACTTCAACTTTGCGGTTCCTACTTGGAGCGGGAGAGTCTCTTTTTCGACAATCTCCACGGATGCAGGAGATGCCCCGGCTGATATAGTCTTTGCAATCGCCTCTTGACCAACTTCTTCCAGCAGCTGAGCGGTGGTCTTGGACTCGGTGGATTTGACAGTATCCACGACTGCACTGACTCTTGCCATTGCAGCTCCGATTGCGTTTGCAACTTGCGACCACTCCGGCTTTATCACTCGACTCGCACCTTTGAGCTCGTTAGGCGATAGTATAGCTCCACCGCCAACAAGCAGCACTGGGATATCTTCTGGCGAAGTTTTCATCTTGTCAATCGCCTTCTCAATCTTGTCCTTAAGAGCGGTCTTGAAAAGGCTCAGCTGTTCATCAGTAAGCACAGCCCTCACAAGATCTGCATTGCCTATTTTTAAGTCCGGATTCGCTTGCACTATACAGTCAGTCGCGGTGATAATCTTGCCACCGAAAACAACAGACTCTTGCTGGAGCTTATGCCCAACGCTGTCTGGTCCGACAGCTAGACCCTTGTCAGTTCTGACGATTGACCCTCCCCCAAGTCCGATGCTCTTGATATCCGGACAGGAAAAGTTGACTCTGATGCCTGCCAGATCGCTGTAAGCAGCCTGCTGCCGGGGAAACCCATTTGCATACAGCAGCCCAACATCTGTCGTTGTGCCCCCAATGTCGACGACCATGACTGCTTCGGATATCTCGCCCTGGGCGAGGAATGCCGCGCCCCTCATGCTGTTTGTTGGGCCACTTGAAAAGGTCCTGATGGGCAACCTCGCTGCCATGTCCCCTGGCAAGACGGTGCCGTCATTCTGGGTGATGAAAACGGGACAGTGTAAGCCAAGGCGTTTGATTGGCTCTTGAAAAGACCTGATGGTTTTCCTAGCGAAGGAAAGGATAGAAGCGTTCAGAATAGCCGCGTTTTCGCGCTCCAAGAATCCTAGGTTAGCGATGTCTTTGGAACAAACAACATCGCACTCGGGCAATTCTGCTTTGATAATGTCCGCAGCTCGTTCCTCCTGCTTCTCTATGGTGTCTATGGGGCTAAACACTCCATTGACTACAACATTTCTGATGCCTTTTTCGCGAATAATGGCACATTGCTCTTTGATCTCTCGCGTATCAATGTCTGAGATGAGGTTTCCGTCCACCTCCAAGCCGCCTTTGAGCAATGCATAGTGGCCCAGAATCATCTGCCTCATATCATCCGGCCAATCGACGCAAGGAGGGGCATGCTTTGAAAAAGGTCCACAGAGTCGAATAACCGCCACAGTAGACAGTCGTGAAGCATCCCGTTCAACAACAGCATTGACGAAATGGGTCGTGCCAATGGTTACACTCTCAACCTCGGACGGGCTGATGGCAGCGGATTTGAACATGGCGGTGGTTGCATCGTTGATTCCAATGCTTGGATTTGTGGTTGTGGGAGCCTTGTGCCATGCTAGGATGCCTTTGCCCGGAGACGACGCCCGGAGGGGATCGAGAATGACGCCGTCTGTGTTGGTGCCGCCGACGTCGACTCCTATGCGGAGGTGCCTGGAGATGTTTGCAGCGGGCATGGCTGTGTTGTATGTGTACACAATAGTAGGTAGACAAACGCCTTTAGAGCGCATTAATGGAATGATGAGAGGAGGATCTGGAGTTGTTATCAGAGGATCAGATAAGATGGGATTTGCACTTACATCACCTTCTACCGAAGCAGAGCACCAAAGGATCGGCTTCCCGATTGCGGAGAGGGGCAGCGGGGTAATAACGATGAGCACTGCAGCAGCTCGGCATGACTGATGGAAGGGCTATGAGAGATTTCTTGTCTTGTTGATAAGTTGATTTTGGAGGACCCGATGCTACATATGTCAATGATGAGTTGTGGATTGGGTCACAGAAGGTATTAGTCCAGCGATTGCGGTAGATGAGGGGAGCACGTGGCATGTGAAGAGATGCACGATAAAGGGTCTCATCTTAGAAACAGATGTCAATGCTTTCCTCGTCCAAGTTGGATTCTTTCATTTCCATATTTTACACCATGAAATATACTGTATGAGGGCAAGATTTATAGTTAGTTTTCATATCTTACTACTAAGGTGGTAGTTTAGTACCTACTTAGGTAGGCTGTAATTATCGGAGCATGGCGTCTACTAAGGTACGTTTGGAGCAGCCCGCTTTGACTAGGAGCAGTTGGTATCAGATGAACCAAAGTAGAATTAGATGCATGTAGTGAATTAATTTGTTTGAATGATACGCTGATTGCATACTTTTGATGGTCTACAGATACAAGGCAGATGGGTAGAAGGTTGAAGGACTGAAGACAGAGACCAAGATAAGTAAGTATTGGGCGGATGCGAGCTCAGATGAGTCTCTCTTAGATGATCATGTACTTACACGGCTTCTGGAATATTGTCGTCTCTCCCTCTTTCGGGCTTTGGATTGATTTG